AGTTACATCTGGAGTGCCGCAAGGCAGTCTCCTGGGTCCTATTCTGTTTGTGATATTCATAAACGATCTTTTCGACATATTACCTGACGAGACTTTGGCAGCTTTGTATGCAGACGACACCAAACTGTACAAGTCCATCACATCAGTAGGTGACTGTGAAAGTTTGCAACAAGCTTTAACAGACCTTGACTGCTGGAGCCGTGACAACAACCTCAATTTTAACGAGTCGAAGTGTAAGGTGTTGACAATTACAAGGAAAAAAACCCCGCTGACGTACGCATATCACATGGGCTCAAAGGAACTTACTCGTGTGAATAAGGAAAAAGATCTTGGTGTCTTCATAAATTACAACCTCTCATGGGACGATCATGTTCATACCATCACCGCCAAAGGGAACAAGATGCTTGGCATGCTGAAAAGAACTTGCCCTCTACTGACTAACACCGCAGTGAGGCGGACGCTGTATTTGTCATTCGTGAAGTCCCAGATAAGTTACGCCACCGAAGTCTGGTCTCCTCCTACCATCAAAATGAGATCCACAGTGGAACGTGTACAAAGGAGAGCCACCTCTTGGATACTGCAAGCCAAGCGCGGAGAAATTGCATATAAGCAGCGGCTGATAACCCTTGGCTTATTACCCCTGTGCTACGAGAGAGAAATAAAAGACTTAGTGTTCTTTTTTAAGGCACTGTATGGACATACTGATCTTGACGTGCATAGTTTCGTTTCATTTGTCAACAATGGCCGAACACGACTTAGTCGAAATCCTTCTCTCACACTCAAAATTCCTTTCTGTAAATCCAAAACATTTCAATCCTCATATTTCAACCGGCTTGTCAAGTTATGGAACCACGTCTGCAAAATTCTTCCCTCTACCACCTTTGCCAGCCTCTCCCTCTTCAAAAGATCTCTTAAAGCCACTTACGCTAACTTGCTTACGGCAACATTTGACGTGGACATGCCATGCACCTGGACACTGGTGCGGGACTGCCCCTGCCACAGATCTTAAGTATAGTTTTGATAGACGGTTCCTCTTATTGTGTTCACTGAATGCAACCACATTATGCTTGTGAGTTTGAAATTATTATGCTAACACATCCGTGAAGCATTCATTATGCTTGTGAGTTTGAAATTATTATGCCTGCAATACATCCGTGAGCATTCATTATGCTTGTGAGTTTGAAATTATTTTGCTAACACATCCGTGAAGCATTCAGGTGGTTGCGTTCATGGTCATACTAATAGGGGGAAGCGGCTTTTATATATTTGTATTTTATGTATGTGTGTATTTATATTTATGTACGTATTCGCTGCTTCGGGGTTTGCACCTTGCATGGGACTTCGCGTCTCGTTTGTGCTTATGCCATTTGAGTTCATATTAATTATACATAATATTAATTATATATAATTATATATAATATTAATTATATAATGTAATGTTCTCAATAAATATATTTGAAAAAAAAAAAAGAAAAGAGCTTTGACGCACTTGCTTGTTAAACGCAGTGCACGCGCACGATAGGTTCTCCAGAACTCTTTCTTTAATTTGTCTGAGCAGTTTAGACTTTCGTCAGCCTTGTTTACCCACAACGTGAACATCAGCCTCGTTCACCTTCAATATCGAACAATGTCAGTCTGACAGAGTACTGTAAGCACGAAAACCGAGAGTGACAGCGACTGTTTTCCACTAGGCGGAGAGAAAAGTAGCGCTCCGCATGGAAAATTCCGTTCATTGGTGGAAAACCAATTACGCAAGTCTAGATCTAAGTCAGGGGTCTTCACCCCTTTTTTTCGGCGACCCAAACCCAAGCTTCATAGGTGTCCCACGACCCTGAACACTGCCAATAAAACTTTCGATAATTAAAAACATTATGACTTTTCACCGAAAGCTTCCGAGTGTATGACGACGACTCTACTTCGGAAGACGACGTGCGCCGAAGGCGCGCCGAGTGGTGCCAAGCCATAATGTTTGAGTTACATGAAGTAAAAGGTATTATATCTAAAGCTTTACCAGTTTACCTGTTTACCATATTATTCTAGCAATCTAGCGCTTCTAGCAATCTAGCGCATAATAATCGTGAAAAAAACATTATAATCGCAAATTTCGCAAGGAAATATTCATATGTAAATATGTGCATCTTATCACTTGATCTCTCGTCTTGTAAAGTTTACTAGTGTAAGTTCGCGACCCTAGACAAGCATTGCGACCCATGCGACCCAAGACAAGCCTTGCGACCTTCGAGGGTGTGCTAGAGACCCAATTTTGGGTCGCGACCCATGGTTTGAAGACCCTTGATCTAAGTCGACGAAAAAGCACGTACATTTATTGATTCTAGGGTAACGATTTCTTTAGGGAAAACCCGCAAAACTAGGTTGCCGCAATTGTGGACAGTCTGGATACAACCGTTCAACTTAACAACAATTGTGTTTCTCCAATTCTAGCTTTCTTTTCCTTCAAAGTAACATGTTTTACGGCGAAAGTGCACAGGATTATACTGTATTTGCGCAATTGGCGAGTTCTGTGACCATATAGAAAAGATGAGCAGTAGATAATCAAGGGAGAAAGTTAAGCTTATAGCATAGGTCTCAACGCATTATAATGGGGAAACTTATTTCTATATTATTTTGTAATCATTTGTGGGAACACCGAGTGAATTATTCGCCGCTAAATGTTCGTCCTGTTGACTCAGTACTTTATCAGAGCGATCTGTCGGCCACGTCACAGAGCAGGTAATCTGCTTAAAGATTTTTAAATCTTTAGAAAGATTTGACTTAATTTAAGTGGTGTTCCCACTAATTATTACATATACATTGGGTTTTCGGTCTTATGACCCATGGAAACATTCAAAGAATTTTACTTTTTTCATCAGATACCACTGTGTCGGGCAAATTGCATACCACGACTACAGCAACCCTAGATGGACTCCTGGCCACTTTATTCTGTTCAGCAAAAGCTGTTTTGGTGTTCTCTGGATCGAACTTTCCTCTCTAAGTGTCTACAGCCGTGTGGAAAACTGACTTCAGTTGGTCTTTCGTCGTCTGTGTTTGTGGAGCTGTAGAGCATGGTAACTATGGAAATTTAAAAGATTCTATGTATTCATGACATAGTATTTACAGTAACGTCGAAAAATATCAATATACATTTATTAGACCTAACCAAGGGCAGTCGCGAAAACTGCAACTATGGTCTCTCTGGCTGGAATCGAACGTGCGACCCTAAATGATGATGGTTTGCAAACCAAAGGGAGGTGTACTCCCATTATATGATGTACGGATATGTGCTGGGATATAGCGTATGGTTTGAACTCTAGGTTTGGGACGGGGTATAGAAAGTATGTATTTCGGTCTGAAATAGGATACCTATTTGTCATTATATCGTAGATAATGGTATCAAATAACAAGCACAGATTTGCGATGTAGGGTATGGAAAATCGTCTTTTTGTTTGGGATAAGGTTTTCATGTTACGGCGGACATACCATGCATCCAAAAATCGCCAGAGTACAAGAAAAAGTGAGGAGCTACGGTTCCCTTGAGGATAGCTCTGTGGCAGTGAAATCGAAAAACCTGCATCATTCCTCTGGCTCTCATGGATAAGCATAAAGTAGTCGCGAGAATATGTTTCGCACTTAAGGTGGCTCCCTACAGTTGTGAAGAAACAGTAGCGAAAAATAAGGTCTACACAAAGACGCAAAATATTACCTATTTA